GCAGAATTGGGGCCTACGTTTTAGATATGATGGCTGACAAACAAGAGGATTTGGTGAGGAAGAAAAAGTGTTACAGCAAAATGGTCACATGGTGACTCTTGATTGACATATGCGTATCCTGAGTTTCTGCTCTATAGAACTGTTGTTTTGGGCGATTTTAATTAGGATTGGACAGATTTAACCAATAAGTTTTGGGGAGGGAGTTCCCCATGCAGGGGGAGCTCAGTGTTGTTTGCCATGTGGAGGGCCCACACAGGAGGGAAATATGTCAGGAGATGAGGTCAGAGATGGAAGCCAGGGGAAGAATGGCTATGATCTTTCAGGGCTATGTGAGAAACTGAAGCTTGATAGGTGAGTCATTGGGGATACCAAAGGAGGGATAATGTGATTAGGCATGCCGCAGACTATAGATTGGTCATCTCAGTTATACCAGAGTACTTGAGGCAGCTGAGAGTGAAGTTTTGTGCATGAAAATCTACCTGGATTCTTCTGGTGTTTCTTTCCAGATCATTGTTGAAGAAGCAAGACGGATATGGGACAATATGAAAATGCTAAATGGAAATACAGAACTGAATTGCAAAATGACATCGGATGGTATGTTGTCACAGAGAGTACAGATGTTAAAAGGGACATCATCAGTTTAAACAGCAAAAATAGTAACACCTGCGATGGCTTTTACTGACCGCAATCAGAGGGAGAAGAAACCTATCTTTCCCCAGTTTGCTTTGTGCAAACAGCTCTTGTGTGCCTTCGCTAGTTCCTGGAGTATGGTCAGAATCGCAGAAACTGTAGTTAGTTTCCCCTTTGGTGGTTTGTCTTCCACAAGCAGCAAGGGAGAAGGCAGCGTACAGGAGCAAATAAATAATATGTATCAACCCACAAAATCTGTGGTCAGAAACTGCTTTTAATTCACTCTTTAAAAACTGACTGGATTTCAGATTGATGTGTCTCATGAAACAAAGTAATTTTACATCTGAATTACCTGATAGTCTGATCCTTCTTCCAGGGTATTTGAAGCTTTGGCAGCTTAAGAAGCCGCAGCTTTTTGCATATGATGCCATATTTGTGGATGAAGCACAAGACTGCACGCCAGGTGACTAAGGCAGGAGACCATCTGAACAAATAAGGACCTAATTAACCCCATTATTCCTGTGCCCCCAATAGGGAAATAAAGACACCGAGGGCATTGGTAACTGAGCTAGGAGGGGAACTTGGTTTCTATGCTTGTGCTCAGATCACTAACCCACACATATGGAACTGGTTGTTTGAGGGTAAAGGGGGCGCATTGGGGGGCGGGGTTTATGTTTTTCACAAATGCCTTCAATTTCTGTACAGCATCATCAGTATTATTTATAAGTAGTGCCTTGAGGCCCCAATCAAGATTAGAACCCTGTTGTGCTAGGCCAGAGGTGGGCAAACTTTTTGGCCCGAGGGCCACATCTGTGTGGGGAAATTGTATGCAGGGCCATGAATGTAGGGCTGGGGCAAGGGGTTGGGGTGCAGGGTGCAGGAGGGGGCTCAGGGCAGGGGGCTGGGGTGCAGGAGTGGGCTCAGGGCAGGGGGTTGGGATGTGGGGTGCAGGAGGGGTTCAGGGTGCGGGCTCCGGCCTGGCGCTGCTTATCTCGAGCAGTTCCAGGGTGACAGCGGGGCTAAGGCAGGCTCTCTGCCTGCCCTGGCTCTCGCCGCTCCTGGAAGTGGCCAGCATGTCCGGCAGTGGCTCCTGGGGGTTGTGTGGGGATGGCGGCTCCGGCGCATGCTGCCCTCGTCTGCGGGTACCATTCCTGAAGCTCCCATTGGGCGCGGTTCCCCGTTCCCGGCCAGTGGGAGCTGTGGGGGGCAGTGCCTGCAGGCAAGGGCAGCGCACGGAGCCTTCTCCCCGCCCCCCCCTTCTTCAGGGGGCCGCAGGGACGTGGTGCCGTCCGCTTCTGGGAGCGGCATGGGAGCCTGCCTTAGCTCCGTTGCACCATAGGGCTGGCAATCCCACAGGCTGGATTGAAAGCCCTGACGGGCCAGATCCAGCCCGTGGGCTGTAGCTTGCCCTCCCCTGTGCTAGGCCCTATACAAACACATAGGGGACAATCCTTGTGCTGAAGAGCTCATGGTCTCCGTAAACAAGACCGATAAAGTGGCGGGGGTGAGGGAAATGGAAGGATTGTTCTGGCTTTACAGTTGGAGAACTAAAACACAGTTTGTGATTTTTGCCTAATGTAGTCGCACAGGGAGTCCACGGTGGAGAAGGAAATTGAACCCATGCGTCCTATGTCCCAGTTCAGTTTCTTAACCACAGAACCATCAATATGTTCTAATAATTTCTTATCAGTGATGTGGTTAAAGGCCTTGCTTATTTCCCACTTGCTTGTTTGGGCTGGAGCCATTTTCTTAACCACGTGAAGTTTGTTTTGGTTTGGCGAGCGGGTCCCTTTGAGTTTCGTTCATGCTTCGCTTTTTGCTGCAGCCATCCTGGACATTGTGCTGTCCCAGACCTGTGGAATAATCTTTGTAGGAGACCCACACCAACAGATCTATACCTTCCGAGGTGCTGTCAATGCGCTCTTCACAGTGCCACACACCCACATCTTCTATCTCACACAGGTAAGACTGGGCAGTGTGTACATGCGTATTCCGGTGCTGAAGATCCATCGTTCTCTCCAGTAATATGCTTACCTCAGTTTAAAATTTACAAAGGAATGACCGTGCCTCTTCCAAGAGCCAGCAGCAAGAAAACGTCCCATGTTGTCCGTTAATCAAAGTGGGTCAGCTTTGTTTCATAAGCCGGTGTAAATCCCACACCAAAAGTACATGGGAAATTACTTCTGTTTGCCTGATCTCTGCTTCCTTTGCTCCATCTTGTAGAGTTTCAGATTTGGCCCTGAAATAGCTTACGTTGGATCTACTATCTTGGATGTCTGCAAGAAAATCCGGAATAAGATGTTAGTGGGTGGAAATCAAGAGGGTAAGAAATTAAATTGTGTTCGTACAGCGCCTAGCACGGGTCCTGATCCAGGACCGGGGCTCCTAGGCACTATTGCAATACAAATAATAATAATATATGCTTTTTAAAAATAATTTCATACTGCTTTTCTTCTTGCATTGACTTACTGGGCCTTTTCTCCATCTCCCAGGTGATGTCAGAGGCAGCACGAATGGAAAGACTGCTTTCTTATCACGGGGCAATTTGAATGTGTTTGAGAATGCAGTGACAATTACTGGAGGAGAGAGACCAACAAAAATACACTTGCTTGGGGTAGGGCAGATTTCTTACATTGTATGTGGAAGCTGTGAAAGCTTCTTGGGGAGGGGGCATTGAAATGACTCTAATTGGGAGTCGTCCTCTCTCTAAGCAGTTTCAGTCACAAGTATAAACTCTTGTCTTGAAGTAAGTGTCCCAGACCCTCCAGAGTCTATAAGAGCGGTCACACTGGGTCAGACCAATGGTCCATCTAGCCCAGTATCCTGTCTTCCGACTGTGGCCAATACCAGGTGCCCTAGAGGGAATGAACAGAACAGGTAATCATCAAGTGATCCATCCCCTGTCGCCCATTCCCAGCTTCTGGCAAACAGAGGCTAGGGACACCATCCCTGCCCATCCTGGCTAATAGCCATTGATGGACCTGTCCTCCATGAATTTATCTAGTAAGCCATGAAGCAAACTAATTCATGGTGAGAGCAGCTACTCTCTCACTAATGGGAAAAAGGTATTATAGTGAATCAAGGTGAAGCTGTGAACATTGGGACCTATATGAACTCTGCGTGCCCATCTGTAGTGACACCTAATTTTCAGTTATACTTCTGTGAAGGAGGCAGTATTAAACCTAACTCTTAATTCCCAAGCTTCTTTGGGTGTACGTCGGTCTGTAAAAGTTATCGGTGCATATCAGTGCACTCAGCATTGTCCTAACTCCACTGCTATTGAAGTCATTGGTAAAGCTCCGATTGACTTCAGTGAAAGCAGAGTTAAGCCAGCACCAAATGCTTTGATGTAGTTCTTGTGGTTTCAGTTAACTTTCTTAATTTTCAAATTGTTGTCACAGGAGGCTACTGGCTTTCATCTGTTGAGCATTTTGTAAAACCCAGAAAAAGTGTTCATAATAATAACTGAACAGGTACTAGTAGTATCAACAAGGTGTTTGATTTTTTTGCATTTTATCTCTGTGTAGAATTTTTTTCAGGTCTGCAGATACAGATGACTAAAAAGTTCTGGGAGTCATGTTTTCAAAATTCATACTAATTTTGCATCTGCAAAAAGTGTGTGTGCACTTGTAGTATGAGCATAAACATTTATTCATGCTGTTGCATGCTCAAATTTTGCAGGTGCACTTTAATAGCACAATCCTTCTGAAGCACTCAGTGTTTTACAAAGAGTTATGAATTAAGGCCCTCCAATCCCTATGCAAAATGGGGGAGTTATTTTCATTGTACCAGTGAGGAACTGGAGGCACAAAGAGGTTAAGTGACCTGCCCAGGTTACTCAACAAGTCTGTGGAAGAGCCAGGAATAGGACTCTGATCTTTTGAATTTCAATCCTGTGCTGTAAGCACTAGACCATCTTGTCCTTCCTTTAGTCATGAAGCTGTAAACTAAAGCTGAGCAAAAATCGGAATGACTATCCCATGGGAAATTCTGATGTGTCAATATTTTTGCATCCTGAGTTGGACTGAAAAGCCCCAAAATTTCCTGAAACAAAAAACTAAAAAAAAAAATCTTAATGAGGAAATGTTTTGTTTTGACACTTTTGATTTTTAAATGAAAGGTTTCATCAGTATCCAAAACTGTTTCCTTTTGGTTTGTTGAATCAGATTGCAACATCAAACTGCAGTTCCCTTTAATGCTCTGCTGTCTCGTGGGAGTTGTAGTTCCAGTGACTCATGGCCTCATTCTTCCCTATTAGCTGGGCTCTCTGGCCAGATTCCATCTCCCATGATGCCCCATGGTCCTGTGACTGCCATGATGCATCCTACAGCTCAGAGGGGACAGCATGTGGTGCATCATGGGAGATGAAGTCCAGCTATGGAGCCAAGGCTATATGAGAGAATAGAGTCATGAAGCACCCAGAACTACAACTTCCATGGAGGAAAAATAGGGGAAATGCAATTTAATATCAAACTGACTTGAAATGAAATATTTTGTTTCAGTTCAACAAACAGAAATATTTCTATTTGAACTGAAAATTGTTGGAAAATCAAAATTTTACTGCAAAATTGACATTTTCCCACAGAATTTTTTTTTTAAATTGAAACTGCATTTTCTTGAAAAATCATTGTGATAAAAAAAATTCCCAACCAGTTCTAATGCAAACTAATCCACAAAATACATTCCTGGCCACAAAACATGATGACCAGCTGGGATTTTGTTTTCCATTGCTCATTCTGTGTGTTGTTGGTTGGTGTGTCTCATTTGGGATCATCCACTAGTTTTAGGCTAGATTATTTCTTTCTAGTTTCATATTGATCATGCATTCTATAGTGTGCACTTTAGGAATATAGTTTCACCTTTGAGTCTTTTGAGTTTTTTTCTCTATTTGCATGCTGGTGAATCTGATACATTTTGGCAGGAAACTAGCTCATTTGTAAACTTTAAGTATAACCTTCAATTAGGTCAATTTTAAGAGAATCTTTATCTGTTTAGGGGCCTAAAAATTTTGGACTAGACAAAATTCATGATATTTGGAAACTCCTTCAACCTGAAGAGGCCCGTGTGAGATGTGAGTATATTCTCCTGTCTTCTTCCCCTAAAGTTATGTACCGTGGTGTTAACTTTTCTAGCTTCTACCATATCTCCAACTGCTCCAGCTGATGCATGTAAACCTCTTTCACTTCAGTGTGACTGGGGATCATGTTGTTTGTTCAGCTTCTGGGTGGTTGTGAGATGGGAACGGCTATCGGTGATGGTTATTTCTGTGTTTCTACTGGTGCCGTGGAAATGTGGAATCTAACGTCATAAGAACAGTTTACACTTCCAGATCCTGAGATTCTTGGTCTCAACTAGAAAAGTCCAGTAAACTATTTTATCTCTGTCATTTCCATTTCTTTGACATAAAATGGAGGTATTTATTAGACATTTTGCACGCTGGTCAACACCTTTTTTAGTTTTAGAGTGTCATTCAGAAAAACATTGTCCAATTCACTTTAAAAAAACAAACAAACCCACAACAAACTACCTCCACCTTGGACCTAATTGACCAGTGTTTGTTTATTGATGTTAGGTGGATCCTGGGAGCTAATCAGGGGTTATAATGGAAACTTAGTTGCAGCATTTAACATGGGAGTGGCTTTAGAATATGAGCCATTAGGAGAAGTGCCTTCGTGTAAGAACATAACCTCTATGTGATTGGGTTAAACTGCATGGATCTTGGCTGTCTATAAGTTAAAAATGTGATTTGTCCCACCCTAAATTCATTCATAAATTCAGTCATTGAGTCCAAGGCCAGAAGGGACCATCGTGATCAGCTACTCTGACCTCCTGTGTAACACAAGCCATAGAACTTCCCCAGAAGAGTTCCTACAGCAGATCTTGTGTAGAAGAACATCTAATATTGATTTTAAAAAATTGACAGTGTTGGAGAATCCACCATATCCTTTAGTAGATTGCTCCAATGGTTATTTACCCTCGCTGTTAACAATTCATGCCTTATTTCCAGTCTCAATTTGTGTAGCATCAACTTCCAGCCATTGGATCTTGTTATACCTTTCTCTGCTAGATTGAAGAGCCCATTATTAAATATTTGTTCCCCATTTAGATGCTTACACTGTAATCAAGTCACCCCTTACCCTTCTTTTTGTTAAGCTAAACAGACTCAAGGAGCTCAATGTATCTCTATAACACACATTTTCTATTCCTTTAATCATTTTCATGGCTCTTCTTTGAGCCCTCTCCAGTTTATCAACATCCTTCTTGAATTGTGGGCACTGGAACTGAACACTGTATTCCAGCAGCGGTTGTATCAGTACCAAATTCAGAGGTAAATAACCTCTCTACTCCTAGCTGAGATTCCCCTGTTTATGCATCTCAGGATTGCATTAGCTCTTCTGGCCACAGCATCACATTGGGAGCTCATGTTCAGTGATTATCCACCACGACCCCCAAATCTTTTTCTGAATCACTGCTTCCCCAGATAGAATCCCCAATCCTGTAATTATGGCTGACATTTTTTGTTCCTAGATGTATACATTTAGTCATATTAAAATGCATATTGTTAGAAGCGTAGGGCCAAGAACTGATTCCTCTGGTAACCCCCTGGAAACGCACCCATTCAATGATGATTCCCCGTTTACAATTACATTTAGAGACCTATCAGTTAGCCAGTTTTTAATCCATTGAATGTGTGTCATGTTAATTTTATATCGTTCTAATTTTTTAATCAAAAAGTCAAGTCAAAGTATTACATCAACACTGTTACCTTTATCAACCAAACTTGTAGTCTCATAAAAATAAGATATCAAGTTAGTTTGTCAGGATCTGTTTTCTATAAACCCATGTTGAGTTGCATGAATTACTTTGCCCTCCTTTAATTCTTTATTAATGGAGTCCCAAATCAGCTGCTCCGTATATTGTTCGGGATAGATGTCAGGCTGACAGGCCTATAATTACCAGGGTCATCCTGTTTACTCTTTTTAAAAATTGGCACAACGTTTGCTTTCTGCCAGCCTTCTAGAACTTCCCCAGTGCTCCAAGACTTATTGAAGATCAAGATTAGCAGTCCAGTGAGCTCCTCAGCCAGCTCTTGTGAAACTCGCAGATGCATGTTGTCTAGTCCTGCTGATATTAAAATATCTGACTTTAATAGTTGCTGTTTAACATCCTACTGAGATACTAATGGAATGGAAAGAGTGTTATCACCATATGGTAAAACTGTCTAATCTGTTTTATCCCCAAATACAGAACAGAAATATTTATTGAACCCTTCTGCCTTTCCTGCATTCTTATTGATAATTCTATCATTTCCAGCTAGTAATAGACCAGTACCATTGTTCTATTTGTTAGTAATATACTTAAGGACAATAAGAAGGGTTTTTTAAACTCTACTGGCCATCGACTTCCAGTTATGTCTCTTTGCTTCCCTTATCAATTTTCTACAGTTCCTAACTTCTGATTTATGTTCATTAATATCAATTTTCCCTTTCTTATGTTATTTATTTTTATAACTGCTTTCCCCTCTAAACCAGGCCGTTTTTTTAAACGGCCGGCCCTCTTCAATTGTGCCTTATTTGGCATCTAATAAGGTGTTCTTAAATGAGCCCCAATTATCATTCATGTTTTTCTGATTAAATTCTTCCTTCCAGCTGATCTGGTTCAAAATAGTTCGCACATTATAAATGTGATCAAGTCATATCAGTTGTACCTATGCTACCATAGGGGTGTGTTAAGACAAGGTCTAAATAAATATTTCCCTCGTGTTGGCTGCAGTGCTTTTTGAGTTAGGAAATTGTCATCTATAATGTTTAGAAATTCCAAAGATGTTTTAGTACTGGCAACATGAGACCTCCAGCATATATCACTCAAATTTAAATCTGCCATGATCACTCAGCGTTTTTTCTATTCTTTATAGATAGGTGCGCTAGGAGGTGGTAATCCTGTTTCCTGGAGTGATCTGGTGGTCTGTAGCTGACCCCAACTAATAACACATCTTGTGCTTTATCTGTTAGGACATTGATTCATAAGCATTCAAGATCATTTCTTCCAAGTTATCAGTGAATCGGGAACAGGTAATGCCATTTTTGACATAGAGGACCACTCCCCTTCCCTTTTGCCCACTCAGTCCTTCCTAAGTAGGTTATAACCATTGTTTTTAACATTCCAGTCCTGCGAATCATCCCACCAGGTTTCAGGAATACCAACGAGATAAAAATTTGTGCTTCTAAATGAGCAATTCCAATTCCTCTTGTTTATTACCCAGGTTCCTAGCATTGGTGTGCAGGCAATTCAGGAATTTCTTCTTTTTGTGCCCTTTGGTTCATTGATTAATTTTGTTCTCAACATCTCGATTTTTGTGCTGAGCACTCATATCTTCTTTCCCCTTTTGCTATTAGTTTAATCCTCTCCTGACTACCTGGGGACAGGCTAGCTAGAGAAAATTGGTCCCCCTTCTACTGAGATGGAGGCCATTCTTACTATACAACCCCCATGCCCCATAGAAGGTGGACCAGTGTTCCATATAACCAAAACCCTCCATGGCTTACCTAGCCAGGGGTTCACTTCCAGAATCTTCTGCCTTTGGTCTTTCTTCGCGTGTGGGACAGAAAAGATCTCTCAGAAGATTCCCTGGACATTCTTCTTCAGCATGCTTTCAAGTTCCCTGATGTCATCTACTATCCAGGCGATATTCCACAACACAAGGTCATTAGTGCCTATATGAACCATCTCCAATGGATCCTTGCCTGTTGACTTCAGTACTTATCCAATTTTAGAGTGGAGTCTTGTGTCTCAGCCCACTATCCTCTTGTGTCTCAGCCCACTATCCTGTTGTCGTCCTGTCCCCCTTTTTCCGATTCTTTTTAGTATTGAATCTCCAGTAAGGATTGTCTGTTTTCCTTGGGTAGCTGGAGAACTCTTTGCAAGTTAGCTTGATTTTCTTACATGTTAGGCTGAGCTGCCATCCACATGCGTATCCTGTACATCTCCCTATTTCCTTGGAGCTGCTGGATCTCGAGAGGTATTTTCCAGAGTTTCCACGCTGAGGACCTGGTATTGATTTTAAAGCTACTAGCTGTGTGGAATTCATCCCAGTCCTCTTTCTCCAGCCGTGTAGAATGCTGCCATGATCTCCTGCGTCTCGTGGTTGTGAACCACCAGGCCTCCTCTCTGACTTCCTCTCTCTCCAATTCCTGGCTGGCAAGCGTCATGCTCCCTTGAGCCTGTTGTTTCCCAAACCTGGCTGTCTAGGAAAGCCTCAGCTTCACTGATTTTCAGCAGCGTCTCTACTTGTCCCTTCAATCCAAGAATCTTTTCCTCCAGTACAGCCACCAACTTGCACTTTGTGAACAGGAAATCCTTTCTGTCAGGAAAGAGAATGTGGCATATCCATTTCAGCTCATCACCACTGTTCCATCACTGGCCATCTTCATAGCTATAAGAATATCTTGACTTCTGTAAGAATCCACCCTATAAACTGTTCTGCTAACCTAAAAGTATCCCAGTATCTCCAAAAGGACATCTACCATTTAGAAAAATAATAAACATAGGTTTTTTGAGACACTTGCTACTGCTAATCATACCTAGCTCTTATATAGAACTTTGCATCGGTATAACTCAAGTGCTTTATGATAAAGGAGGTCCGTATCATCATGCCCATTTTACAGATGGAGAAACTGAGGCACAGTGAAGTGACTTGCCCAAACTCATCTAGCAGGCCAGGGTTGGAGTTGGGAATAGAACCCAAGTCTCCTGAGTCCTAGTCCAGTGCTCTCTCCAACCAGTCTCCCCTACTCTCTATATATCCATTTCATTTGAAGTTAAAAATGCGACCAGTGGTGCCTTTCTTGTGTATTGACATTATCCAATGCAATTCTCACTAGTGAAACTCCAAATTGATGACCACTTTATCAAAAAGTGGGTTGAAAAGGATGGCTTCCAGGGTTTAAAGAACTATGCAGCCAAAACTGAAGACAGGGAGCTGGAGGTGAAGATCACAATAGTGGAGAAATACAATGTCCGCATTCCCGAGCTGGTGGCGAGGATAAAGAACAGTCACGTATCAAATATAGCATTTGCAGGTAAAGCAAAACGCACCTTTTTTTGTATTTTTTCCCCCAAGAAGGAAATTGTTTCCCTTTTTTTAATCCAACCTCACTTCCCCCTGCTCCTCAGAAATAGTGCACTTGGTCCAAGCTGGTCTTGCGCCCAGGAAGGAATAAGACAACTCCTTCTGGGACATTCCTGGGGTCACAGTAGAATGAATTTTCCACTGGAGCACTGATAAGTGAGGTTCTGCTGGAGCTGAATGAGGATTCAGTCAGTATTTCCTGGGATCTAGCAGTCTGACCTAATGCCTTATCTTGGATACTGGCTTAAATTTGCAGTGATTTCTGGAAGAATCCTGGTGGACTATCAAAATACAACAAACCATTCTTGTTTAAGTTCAGGTCTGGACTGGGGTGTGAGGCAACTGGGCATTTTCTTGAGGGGGCCAGTCCTCGTTAATGGGTTAGTGGATTAGTGCAGGAGAGGAGCTCTGGTCTGGGGATTTTTCCCTCTCTCTCTGCTTTGCTTTCAGTTTGCAGTGTTGATGTAGCCGTCTTGGTGCCAGGATATTGGCAAGACAAGGTAAGTGAGATAATATCTTTTATTAGACTAACAGCAATTGGTCCAATAAAAGATATTACTCCCCCCATTCTGTCTGGCTTCCAGTTCACATTTAAAAGCAAGTGAAACTATAAATGCAGAACATAGGAAGTTAATCTGTACATAGTGTTCAGTAAATAACAAGATATAAAAACAGCAGTACAGATATATTGGCTGATATCCTCTCTCTCTCTCTCTCCCCCCGCCCTTGTTCCCTGTTGTGTGTTGGGTCTAGATTATGTGATAGGCACCGTGTACAAAGCCAAAGGCCTGGAGTTTGATACTGTGCTGGTTGCAGATGATTTTATGAAAGTCCCTTGTGCCAGGCATAATCTCCAGAGGCTGCCTCACTTTATCACTGGTAAGGGAGATCCTTTATACTGGAACCATTCTTTTCCCTAAAGGGAAAGGTGATGCATAGGGTGGCCCATTGGCACTCCCCCATCAGTCAGCACTCTTTGGAGGTATGCTTGGGATTGTCTCTGGCTGTACCTAGCAATGTCCTCTCAAGCTTGCTGTCATTCACTGACTTCTCACTTGTGGTGCAGTTCCTTTGTGTAAGTCTGTGCTTGGGAGATGGGCCTGGCACGTAAGGGCAGGTTCATCACTCAGGGAACATGCATTGTTCCTGCTTTGATCAGCAACGAATGTGTATGCCCCAAGGGGAGAGAATATTGGTTCTGTTTGCTGTCACTGAGGTCTTACACAAGTCCTGTCATGATTGTGTAATAAACACATGGCAGGGTACCATGCAGCCTTCTTAACAGAGACACCATATTATCTCCTTCTTAACAGAGACACCAACCATATTTCTGTGACATACCCAGCTCTTGTTTTAAGTGTTCATCCTAATTCAGCAGTGAATTAGAACTAGCTGAAATACCAGAACAAATTCTGAAGTTTTATCAGTTATCTTGTAACACTTTTTTTTTTCCTGACTTCTTCTCTCTAATCTCTGCCTAGACATGTCTGCTGAAGATGAATGGAACTTGCTGTATGTTGCAGTGACTCGTGCCAAAAAGCATCTGTTAATGACAAAGTCCCTGGAATATCTTTTGACTTTGGCTGGGGTGAGTTAAACATGCCATGGCAAAGTGACTGTAACTTAGATCTGTGAGCAGATGGAGGGGGATGTTACCATAGGCGCTAATTTTTCAAAGTGCCGGGGTAGCGAGCGCAGGGCAGATCGGGCCAGTTCTTGCATAGACCGCAGATCACTGGCGCTTCCCAGTTGCGGCCTAGGCCAGAGGAATGTGAGCTTTGAGGTTGAGCCTTTATACTTCCAGGGCACCTTCTGACCCTCTGAGGGGCGGGCTCAGAGCTCACTAGCTCCGCCCACTCTGGTGTCCGGAGGGGCTCGTCTCTCTCCGGGGCGGCGGGGAACCACACCACCTCACTACACTCCCCATAACATCTGTGCTAAAGTGTCTCATGCTTGAGGGGTTTAGGAGGTCTGGTGACTGGATAGGAGCAGAATAAAGGACAGTTAAATTATATAGTAAGGAGGGAAACTAAGATTCATATTGTTCCCTGAACAATGGGCTGAATTCTCCTCTTAGTTACACCAGTTTAGGTCCAGAGTAACTGAGGAGATATTTGGTTCTTAGCCTTCCCGTTTCCTGATGTTGTGGTTTTAAGTGCAGCTTCAGTGATGAATAACTACTGCTTTTAGACTCGTATCTGATTCTGCCTCTCTCCCTCACCACAAGTGTATATGTTCCCTTTCCTGCGTGTCCAGGCCTCATAGTCTCGTTCCAGTTCCTTCCTTTCAAGTGTTTTTTTGCGGTTGGATATTTTTTTTAAGCTCTAATGTTGCTCACAACACATTCCGATGCCCTGAGTTCACCGCACGCCTTGTTCTTTCCCTTTTCAGGAGTATTTCTTGCGGCCAGAGTTGACTAGTGAGGCCTTAAAGGAAGGGGCAATTCATTGTTCCGTGTCACAGTGCCACAATGCTGTGCCTGCTGACTCGATTCTAACCATGAAGAAAGTGCCCCTCGCTTACGTAAGTCTCATCTCTCTCTGCTCTCCTTTCTGCTTGTTAGTTGTGTTTTGTGACCTTGGTGCCAATGAAATGTGCCAGGTTGATAGCCCTGGAGATGTCACTTACCAGCCTTTTAGCCATGGGCGGTGGGTGAACCCCTGGCTTGGGGAAGCTAGCCCCCCCAACCCGCCTTCCGCCCGAGACCCCACCCATTCGGCGCCCACTGGAGCCCAGCTCCCTCTCTGTTCGCTGGCCCCTGCCCCAGGCTAACGCCCCCAGCCCTGGAGCACTGGAGAGCCGGGCGGTGCCGTCCAGCCCAACCCCCGGCCGGCATGCCCCAGCCTCCCTGGGCTGCGCTGCTGGGCCCAACCTCTGGCCAGCTGGCCCCCCCCATCCCAGAATGTGTCCCCCGGCCAAGCTGCCAGCCCCAGCACAGAGCAGGTGGCACAGCCAGAGAGGCCCTCGCGCTGGGCAGGCGGCGTGGCCCCAGCACCAGGAGGACGGTCACCATGGCGCGGCCTCGGGGATGAACCACAGCCCCCAACCTGCCTGTCTCAGGGAACAGCAGGCAGGTTGGGGACTGGGGGTGGAGCATGGGCAGGGGGACATCAAGCTGTTTGGGAAGACAACACCTTCCCCTGCCTACGATACCTGCCACCCATGCTTTTAGCCATGATCACAGAAGTAGCAGATGAGATCTGCCTGTGCACAAAATGGACAGGCACAAGGCAGCCATCATCCACCATTGTAACTCAGCCCTGTCCTGGTCTCTAGGCTTCTGAGGGGTATTTTAGTCTTCATGGCTCGTTCCAGCCTTGCCTTCTCAGGCATGTCTACACTGCAGTTAAAAACCCACAGCTGACCTGTGCCAGCCGATTCCAGCTCGTGAGGCTCAGACATTCTGGCTTGTGCTGCAGCCCAAGCTGTAGGACCCTCCTACCTTGCAGGGTCCTAGAGCCTGAACTTCAGCCCGCTCCTGACTGTCTACACTGCAATTAAACAGCCCCTTAGCCTGAGCCCTGCGAACCCGAGTCAGCTGGCGTGGGCCAGCTGCAGGTTTTAAATTGCAGTGTAGACATACCCAAAAATTAAAATGGGCTCAGTTTGTGCCAGTTGTGGGTGTGTTTTTGTTGTTGTGTGTGATGCAGACACCTACCTTCTGGCCTGGGACCCACCACTTCCTTTCCCATAGACGATGGTTGATAAATAGAATAATCTTGACCCCTACCAAACAGGGCTGGGTTTGAACCTGGATGAGACATTTGTTATCTCAGCAGCATGGCCTTGGAGTTAAGGTGCTCCAGAGATCTTGGATCAGTTCCCAGCTCTGCCAAAGACTTGGTGCGATACCGTGGACAAGTCACTGTGGGACAGAGCCTTATGTTGACGTCCATGGAGCAGCGCCAGTTTAACCCCAGCTGAGGAACGGGCTCGTGATTTCTCTGTGCCTCAGTTCGCGCTCTGTAAACAGAGATCATTTTACTTGACTCCCCAGGAAGGTGGGGAAGTAAAACATTCATTAACCATGTCGGAGAGGTGCATGATACCACTGTGATAGGAGCCATACAAGTACATAGCTATATACCTGTCCCTTGAGCCCTCCTGCCCTCATCACCCCCACTGGATAAGGCCCCGGTATAATGAAATTGCATGTATAATTTTTATCGCAGGCTGCTTTATAAGGGGTTTCTTTAGCGACAAATAGGTGACAGATACCAAACACACTGGATCTGAATCAACAGCAATGTCCCCAACTCCTGTTTCATCCCGTGTCTGAGTTCAATGGCCCAGTATGTCTGAGGGAGGGGAGGCAGAGACTCTGTATTTTCCAATCCTTCTCCTTTTACAATTTCCTACTGGTCCTTTTCCCACAGAGCAATGGCAGCAAAGACCAAGGTGGCTACCTGTGCCATGCTTGCGTGCAGCAGCGTCTCGGCCCCTTGACACAGCTAACTGTTTCACCTGAGCTGGTCCTGACCATGGATGTCGTCGATGAAGCGTTAGAAATTCCGAGGCACGTTGCTGTCCTCTATGACCTGTTTTGAAAACAGGAAGGGGTTGGTTTTATGTCCTAGATCGGGCTCCGACGTGTTGGAAGTGAGGAGGTCTGTAGCTAGCATCTCTGTATTGTTACTGAGGTCCTTGGAGAAATGAAGTTGATGGTCCTTGGACAAGCTCATCAGAAGAAGGACAAGACAAGAGCTGTTCATGAGGACGCTGTGAATAAGGTCTGGGGTTATCCTTCTGTTACAAGAGGGTACCGTGGCCGATGTATGTTCCAAGTGGCTGTCTATTACGTTTCACTGTAAGAAACCCGGACTGCGTAACTTGTACAATACTAGATGCATTTGGACTTGACAGATTTTCTTTCTGAACATTGGCACGCTTGTCCCACATGTTGCCCCTCAGGGTGGCTAGTTTCTGTCAGTGATGCACATTCAGGTGACTGGCTTTTATGATTGCCCAGACTTTTTGCAATATTTAAGCTTTATCCCAATGCATTCTGGTCACTGGGCAAACTGAGACGAACATGCAAAACTAAGGGAGATGATGTAAAAGCATTTTATTACTAATGAAAGAACTCATTCCTGGAGTTAATTTTCATAGGGCTAATCTCATCTCCGGGGAGGAATAGCTGACTTCCCGTGCATCAAGTCGAGAACGTCTTTTTTTTTAACATGTAATCTTTGGGTGTTCCCCAGTCTCTCCATCTCTGCCTCTTTCTCTCATCCTTGGTTCTCTCTTCCCCGTACAAACAAACAAAATCAGTTCTTCATTTAAACCTCAGGATGATGATCGTAGAGAACCAGAGTGTCTTATGCTGTGATCAAGTACGTAATAAAAACAGAAGCCTGTTTATATTAAACAGTGGGGGTTTTTTTAATTGGAGAAAAAGCTGTTTTTGATTGTATTTATTTACTGAAGATCTCATTAGAGATGAAAGCACACTATGCATTGCTTTAATGATGGATTTAGCCCTGTATCTGAGGAAGCAAGACACAAGATTATCCCTCTTAGGAACACACTTACTTCTGGGCTTTTTACTCTAGAATTGTTACAGCACCAAAGCATCCGACTTACTTTGTCCACCTAACCCGGACAAATGTGGATGATTCTAGATTAATTTCTTGTTTTCATCTGGTCCTAACTTGAGCAGAGAATGTCTGTCTGAAACTTTTCCGTGTCCGGTCTCTGAGAGCATGTGATCTGGTTCCAATTGGTATCATTATAGCAGGTTTGCCTTTGTTTCTGGAATACAATGTGCCTTATGGCAACACACTGGTTCCCCCCCATTCTGACGTCCCAGAGAGAAGCAGAGAAGTCATTTAAGTGCTAGAATGACAGACTGGAGGTAGAGAGGAGTGGAACAGGGGAGAGCTTGCAAGGAACCACCAGATACACAGGTACATTCTCATTGCCCTTTCGTTACATAGTTTACGCACCCCCAGTTGCTTTTAGGAATTATCTGTAAAAATCCTTTGCCTTTCATAAGAGGGCAGATCTCTGATGGGGTGATTACATCCTGCCACCTTTAAATTCCCCCTGCAGCTTCAGCTTACAAAAAGTATTCCTTGCTCCCAGGTCCGTAAGGCCATGTAACAGTGCTGTGTATTGATCAAACAGCTGCTGCTTTCTGCAGCTGCATCCCAGTGAGGGATGAAGTGATCTCTGGGCCAGTCTACGCTACCGTGCTACATCCACGCAGCTGTAGCGCGTCTGGTGAAGATGCCAAGAGAGCGGTCTCCCATTGGCATAATTATTCCACTTCCGAGTTAGGTCTGCAGGAGAGCGTCTCCGACCAACATAGCACGGTGTGGACAGCGCTTTAAGTCGATCAGGGTGAGAAGGGGTGTCTTTTTCACACCCCTGAGCGATGTAAGTTGCTTCGATTTAAGCAGTCATGTAGACCAGCCCTGTGTCTAGCTGGTACATCAGTCAGCTACATTTGTAAAGCACCAGGGGCCCCTTCAGAGTGAAAGGCCCTAGGGAAGCACAAGGTCATTAGCATGTATGTGGCAGCATCCATCGTTTTAAACAAGGGAGCGCCTAACTAACAGGCCCAGTTTCCAGCACAGTTTTCTGTGATGAGCGGTGAGGCCCCATCCAGTGGCACCTTGAACTAATTTAAGTCCGTGTTAATTTCTAGATGAGCTTAAAAAGGAATTCTTGACTGCAGTGCATGGATAACCGGTCACTAGATGGCAGCACTGCATTAGTTAAAGTAAAAAAGGAATGTACTGTATCTAGTCAGTCTCTGGAAAGAACATTTAATCCAGTTTTGGCCTCCTCCCTCACCCCAGGACTGCAGTATGATACCCTTCTGCCTTTGGGACATGGTACTGACTTCAGCAGTGGATGTTTCACATGGGACATGGGGGTTGTTGTATTAATTTAGATGGAATAGGCCCAGAGCTGAAGGTGTTAAAATGACCCTGTCGCTGCCCAACGTTAAACAAGGTTGGGGCTTTGATATACAAAGACTTCAGCCTGTGTAGTACCATGACAAATACACCATTAAGCATTATTTTGACCTTTTATTAAAGATACAGTAAAGGCGAGAAATGGTTAAAAATCATTTGAAAAATAAAGTATTAAGGCTTCTATTTTAACAACATCCTTCATTCACTTTCACTTTAGCTGAAGAGAGTTTTTAGAAAGAGCCTCCCCCTTGTCTGACGGTCTTTTAGATGGTGTTAAAGATGGTGGTAACTTTCCTATTTTGGGAAAAGAGAAAATAGTTGAGATAGGCTTGGGCTATTGTTAAAGTCTCTCTGTGTTTCCTAAGAGATGAAACAAGACAAACACATACAAGAAGCAGGTATCCGAGTAGCAGCCGTGTTAGTCTGTATCCGCAAAAAGAACAGGAGTACTTGTGGCACCTTAGAGACTAACAAATTTATTAGAGCATAAGCTTTCGTGGACTACAGCCCACTTCTTTCGAAGAAGT